TCACCTACAAAAAATATTTTAGGCACTATGATCAAAAAGATAAGTTTAGATACTTATTTTAATAAAAAAAAATACTTTTAAGTACTTAAATGAAAAATCAAAAATTACTTTAAGTACTTAAAAGACGTTATTTGTTGTGATATAAACGTAAATAGAATGCAGTTTTCCGGTGATAAAATAAAATGAAAGGGATGAGCCTTAACTTACTGTGCATCGTCCATGGGACTGAAAGCCTCGCGAGTGAACTTCACGGTGGGTATTGCAGCAACAACAGCCGGTTCAAGTCCTCTCATTTGTGGCTCCGGCTGTTACCAAACAACACACATTAAAAATCCCTAAGCTCAAATTGGAAATACCAAGATCATATATTCATCAAATCGATTAAAAACATCTCATTATATAATAAGAGATTAGCATAAGATTTTACGTTACGAGTTGTCCAGAATTTTAAGATTTCATATTAAAAATTTTATACCCAAAATTTAGAATTTTAAGTTCAGCGATGTGATCGTTTTCAACACGGATTAAGGGTCACTAATGTCCTTGTATTAAACCTAATTCATCATTTTTGTCTTTTATCTTATTTTTAATTAATTTAGCTCTCGAAGATTAATGGTGACTAATATAACCATTAATCTTCTGCATTTTTTAACACCAGTGATTTTTAAATCAACCAAATATTATTGATGTGACTTGACAATAACATAACATTTATGAAAGAAATAAATAATAAAATATTTATTAAACACAACGGTTAAAAAAAATCCAAAAGATTGACATAATCTCTTAATTTCACTGAAATAAATAATAAAATTTTGAGAATTTGTTCCGATCATTATGTTTAATAAATATTTTAACCTAATCTCTCAATCCACAAATGCAAAAGACTCACCAGTTATATTAGACAAAAATAGTAAACGGATTTCGAGAGCTAAGATAACATCGTAGATAACTTCAAATACTAAATTGATGCAAAAAACGATATATACAAAAATGAAAAATTGAATTTACTACATGAACAATAGTGACCGGTAAGCCTTTCAATTCATCTCTGTATGCAACGAGTCCGAGAGATACGAATTTGCAAAAAATTGAAATAATGAAACGAAACCTGTTCAAGATCAATACTGGACTGAGCTGGAACATGAGATGTCTGGTTCGAGACGCCCTAATCCGCCGGCAAATCATCCTCGTACAAACAAACACGATGAAAGTGGCGCTCATTCCGAAACCAATCACGGTTGTGATCAGGTTCGTGCCCGAACCACTTAACATCTTCTTTAATTCCCTGTTTTCGAATCTGTCAGGAATACCCAAATCAGGATTTTCCGAGAAAAACATGTTTGTAGGAAAATAAAAACTGGGGGGAAAGGGGTCAGTTTTGGATGGTGAAGACGGGGTTCAACACAAGAAGACAATTCGGTTTCGTTCTTGTCGTTTAATCGTTGAATCACATTAAAAAAATACCCAGTTTCGTGATAAAAACTTTCTTAAAAATTTCAGCGTTCGATTATTGCTTAAAAACATCGAATTTTTTGTTACTTAATTCGGATTGATTAGAATAAACATCGGTTTTTTTAGCAGCTGTGGTAGAATCTTCTGTCGATTTCATAGGAAGGGAATCCCATGATATGTGGCATTTAGTGTTTGCTGCTTTTGGATAAGGCCTACTCCAAGGTAACGGTTTTTCTAGCTGCATGACTTAACCAGTAATATATTTAGGATAATTCTGAATTTCACCCCTCTAGTTTACAAAATTTAAAAGTACATATATTTTTTCTTTTTTTTTAAAAAAAAGAAGATATTGTTAAAAACTCCTAGTCTTATAAAGAGAAAAAGTACTCACAAAAACTATATTACTTGCTACAATAATTCAATATAGCAGTCTTAACAATCTTAGAACAAATCGAGTTAAAATATATAGCTAAACCAGACCGAACTGTCTAACTAACTAATTTATGAGTCACCTTATTACAATCACAATTAACATAATTGACACTAAACCTAGTAACAATAGAAAGCGATGTTGGATATATGAACTGCAAAACTACACCGTTAGCACTGACTGGAAATATAAACAGTAATTAAAAGGAACATATTTGTAAATCGTGTAGTGGTATAACCACTGCCTTAGAAACGAATTCGCCCCGATGTGTGTAATCGCTGCAGTAGGTGGACCGTCCCCCGAGGTTAACACGGTCCCTCCGAATTTCGTACACCCGAAATCGGAGTGGACTGCCGGTGGTATTGCTCTTCTTATCGGAAAGCACGGAAAAAATAATTGCAGAAAACACTTTGAGATTAAATCAAATAACTCCTGTAACTCCTGATATTAACAGCTTGTCCCCTCTGTACAAAGCTGAAAATTAGTCCAGATACATCTTAACGTTTTTTGATTTAATTTAGGAAAAGATGTTTAATTTCTGATAACTCTCATAAACCAGTTGTTATCATTTGACTTTAAACAGTCCTCAACAACCTATAAATATAAGTTGAAATCTTCAACATTTTTCCATTTGTTTCTTTCAAAGAAAATTCCTCAAGAATTTTCTCTAAAAAAAGTATCCGCGGATTCGACACGTATTACCACCACGACCCGAGTCATGACGGACGGCGGCGGCGGTGCGCAAGAGTCCCCCTTGTTCTCTTTAACTCAATAAGGAAGTGAGAATTCCAAACCATAAATACTCATTCCCAATAGTATTTTCAATACTATATGAGATTGAGCATTACTAACACTCCACTCCTTTCCTCTCCCAAATGGACTCGTAAAGTGGAAATGTCGGCTGTCGTACGTTGAAGTTTGTTAACCACAAGCTATATATCATATTCAAGCAACAAGTACGTCCTTCCGTACTCCCTAGGCCTGTAAACGAACCGAACGCACACGAACGAAGGTATGTTCATGTTCGTTCATTTAATAAATAAACGAACATAAACGAACACGAACATAAACGAACAAATTTTTTTTGTTCATGTTCGTTTATTAAGGAATATAACTTGTTCATGTTCGTTCATTTAATAAATAAACGAACATAAACGAACACGAACATAAACGAACACGAACATAAATGAACACGAACATAAACGAACATAAACATTGGAGGCCCTACCTTCCATTGTTCTTTCATGAAAAATAGTCGACAATGCAAATCAACCAAATCTACAGTGATAAATAGCGTAAGAGCTTATTAGCAGTGATGAAATGTTTGAAGATATCAAATAATTCGATCGATCTTTTAAATATATTAAATGATTCACACGACTTTAATTTAACGTTATAACATTTATCTTAGTGTTCCATGATTATATATGAACAATCATTTTCCGCTATTACACTCTTTTTCAGAAATTACATAGAAACCTTTGTTTTGTTTTCTGGCAAATTCTATATATTTTTATTTTTACTGATACTCATATACTTCCGATTTTTACATTTATCTTCCCATCTATTTATAGAAAGAAGTATTATGTTTTCTTGAGTTTTAGATGTGAAGATACCTACAATAACTTTACATATTAACTATTAAGTCAAATAAAACAGAGAAAGAGATGAAAACATACCTGTAAAACTTCATATTGCACTATAATATAACTTGTTTTGAATCTTTCAGAGATCGTCTCCACTCTTCAGTGAACAATAAGGTTTGGGAAAAAAGGGAGAAAATGAATATAAGTGCGAGGTGCCTCACATGTTAACATATTGGATTTAATCTCCAAATAAAATTGGGTTAATTATGGAGTTAGTCATCAGAATATCAGATTAATATTTTTAAGATACTTACAAATTGGTAACCAAAATTGATTTAAGAAGATTGTGTTAAACATAAATGAATGAACATAAACGAACATAACCAAACGAACATAACCGAACGTTCACGAACGTAAATGAACGAACGAGACCTATGTTCATGTTTGTTCATTTAATTAAACGAACAAAAAATCTTGCTCATGTTCGTTCATTTAATAAATAAACGCACATAAACGAACTTCCCGCCGCACGGTTCATGAACGGTTCGTTGAACGTTCAGTTCATTTACAGGCCTAGTACTCCCTGACCAAATGTCAACCAACAATAATCGCATAGGTTTCAGCTAGACCAGCCTCCGCACAAGTTGGTGATGACGAAACAAGACCACCTAAAACCTGACCCTCTGATTCCCGGGCTATAACCTCAATTGCTGCCGTGCAACTTTTCGAAAAAAAAATTAGAACTTCATCCAATTGGTTACCATTGTTAAATTTCACCATGAAATCTCTTAATTGAAAGAAGTTGAGTTCATCATAAAAAGAAAAAGAAAAAAGTTGAGTAATTATATAGGAGGAATAACATATCAATAATTAAAATGTTTAACATTTCAAAAGAAGAAAACTAAGTTGAAAAGCATCCTAATAATAAATATTTATATTACTTCAATCAAATTAATCGATCAAAGATAGAGATAATAACGAATCGAGTTAAGTTGAGACTTTAACCAATTCAATCCGAAAATATACCCCTTATTTGAACCCAACCTAATTTGAAAAGCATATTTCGTCCACTCAAAATTGACTCAATCTAAAAATTTAGGGTAAAAATCTACATCCGACCCAACTTAACATAAAAATATATATGATATTATTTTTATTTGATAAAATAGAAAATTAATTGAAAAAAAATATAAAAATAATATAATAACAATTATTCTTAAATTTAAAAAGAAAAGCATACTATTTTCGGACTCAACCTGACTTTATCCTTTAAAAAATTAAACTTGCCTCGTTTCGAACAAAATTTTAAAAGGAAAACAGGTTGAGATGAATTATCGAACAAAATTTCAAAAGAGAACAGGTCGAGTTAAAATTCATCGATTTCGGAATAAATTGTTAGTCAAAGATAATAACCCTAAAATAAGTTAGGAATCAATGTGCAAGAGATTATTACACATTTAGGATACAAACAATTTTCGATTCATGATAAAACAGCAAACATTATATATGGAAAGAAAAAACAACCTATGTCGGACAAATTCCCATATTCAGCGTAATGAACAATGTTTGTCGCATCAAACTCTATTCCACCAGAACAGAAACAGAGAACAAAAAACAAGCAGAATCTGTCGTGTTTAGTTACTATAATATTGCTACAAACTGTTAAAACCGGACCTAAAGGAACAACATTGAATAAAGAGGCTCGAACGGACCGACCCTCCGTCGGCCCGGAAAGAAAGGGCCGATCTCATAGTTATGGCTTAGCACCATCTTTTTCTTCAATGCTTTCGACCGGAGCGGTGGTTTCACTTGTTTTGCTGGAGCCCCCTGTTATGGTTTTCCCCATGAACTTTCCTGCTTTGCTCAGTCCACTGCCAACAGCTCCAAAGCCACTCCCGATAATCCCAACTCCGGCGCCAACACCAGTTCCGATACCAGTACCCACCGTTCCAACACCGGATCCAACCAGTGAAACCGCTCCATCAAGTGCATCCATCGTGCTGCCAATAACTCCGGCTTCTTTCAACCTCTTTCTTTCTTCTAGGATCCTTTTTTCTTCTTCCAATGCAGCCAACTGTTCGTCCTTGCTGAATAAATGGTATAAAAGCTGAAAGTATAATAAAGTTGAGACTATTAATCCGGAAAAACACAAGCATATCAGTTACAAGTATGTTTCAGGTCCAAATACGAGTCCGACACAGATATTTCAAGGGGGAAAAATCGAAGCAAGATGGGTAACAAAAATGTCTACCTTAATGGTACAACTTCCCCTGTCCTTGTTATCTTTTACTTTAAGTGTATCAAGTGAGGACAGAAGGCTCAGATTAATCTCCTTTGGTGTCTCTGGTTCCAGTTCGATCAAACGGAACTTTGCAATTCCCAATCTCTTATCTTGCCCGATGTCCTGGTCGAAAATCTGTTGGAAGCCACAGCGAATATTGCATAAACCAACTGTAACAGGTATGTAAATCTATGTTACTTATACTTGAGTATGAGTTTCAAAAACGGGTATACATCCGACACGATTTTGCTCAACTTTTTCTAAGTTGTTCCAAATACGGATCGGACACAAGGGATTTAGAAGGAATATATGATAGCTTAAACAAAAAAGAGGACTAGAGAAACTGGTTCTGAACCTCTACAGTGAGTGCCTGTGTCTCTCTATCTTCCACAATCAACTCAAATGTTTCATTCCAAACAGGATGCAGGTTGTTCTCGATGACTTTCGTTTTAACCTTGAAGAGAGGTCGAATGTGCACAATGACATAAGGATCAGATTTTCCGACCATTTCCATGTTCTTTAAATCATTAGCTTTGACTACTGTAACCGTCAGCTTTCCCTCCGGTTTAAGCTCCAGTTCACTGCATAACAAAAAGAAGTGATTCATGCAACATTCCGAGAAATTTCGGAAGGTCAAACCAAATCATTTTCTCTTTTTGCAGTTTACCATTCCAAATGGAGGAGAACCGAAGTTTCGGATTTACCTTGTATCAACTGGTATACCACCAATTGGAACAACAATTCTGTGTGGCCACTGAAGCATGTCTGTGACAATTGAATCCACAGTATCCTACAGAATACGATAAAATTGGAACGATCTACCATCTTAATTAGGGATATCCATAAACAATAAATCACTCAAAAAATGTGGACATAAACCAATAAACTTACATCAATCATATCTGAAAGTCCGGGAACCGCTGTTAAGCTTCCACCAACAGCCTTCAGAGTGTAATCAATTCTAGGCTTTGGCTGATTGAATTTAGAAAAGAATCAGTGATTTCAAAACAACTAGAAAAGGGTATATTCATTCATGACTAAACAGCTTACTACTTCAGGTTCTTCGAATTTAGATTAAAGCCACTTATAAATAGCATGCCATGGCAAAAGTTGAAAGAATATATATATACACGTGAGAAAGCAGAACGACATTAAACAATCTATATAAAACCCCATTGCATTTGCAGCAATTTCTAAATTACTCAACAGATACCTCAGCAAGGAGAGCAACGACTACGGCAGAAATACAAGGTATCTCTTCAGCAAGTTGGAAGATGACACGAACAACGGTGAAAACTTGAAGATTTTTCAACTGCATCATGAAGCAACACATTGATAGTAAACCAAAAATCTCATCTTGTAAGAATCGAATCTCACGAGAAAAGCAATATGGTATTGTACAGTGTTGAAACATGATTACAATTGCGTTTAATATAGATGATTGAAAGGTTGCTGATGCACAAACCTGAATTGGAATTGAAGCAACAAGTGCAGCTTCAACAGCTAAAATTATACTTGGATCACCGCCCCACCGAAGATCAATATCCATCGTGATTTGGCCTTTCTTAAGGCTCTGAACACGAATACCTGCATTGCACAAGTGATCATACTGGTAATGCCTAAAAGGAGAACCTTTTGAGGATATTTTTAGGACTATTTAAGCCTGAGAAAACTGCTAGCGAAAAGAAGTCCAGAAAAATTGTAATGAGATCTCCTTGCTAAAATATACAGGTCACAATCCTCATCAAGTCATACCTTCGATCTTGGGAGCCACAGTACCAAGAGACAATTTACTGAACTTCAGTGAAGTAATACCAGGAGGCCGGTATTCTTCCAAGAGTGGTTCAACAGACTCTTTGATCACTGCCGATGCTGCCTGAAAGTATCACATTAGACAAACTTTGGTTCAAAATTACATATAAAAGAGCTGCAATTATTTTCACTACACAGAAGCATGAACACAGCAGAATAAGCTGCCTAAAAAGAATCTATTCTAGTGGAAAACCTCAGTTACACAAAAGCCTCACTGCTAAGTTTCTTAACCTCTTACTAGCATAATCTCTCTTGGCCACAGATATAAGTATAAAAAGAATAAGTAGCTTACCTCCGCAACAAAAGGCCATAATTTGCTCAATTGCTTGTTCAACCATTTCACCTGAAAAGGCCAACCATAGTATAACTGTAAGCAACAATACTGCATAAAGTCTTAATCGCAACATGAAAGTACATGTATTCTATACCTACAGCAAGTAGAAGATGCATATTTTAGGTAATAAATGTAATTGTTAAATATGATTGAAAATAAATCCAACTCTCTCAAACACAGAGGGTATTGCTCTTCAAGGAAAATGAAATCATTGTCTAATTGTAGATATCGACTCGAAATTGGAATGGATTCTTTTTTTTCTTTTCTTTTTTCAGGTATAAGGTATACAATAGAAAGACGTCCTTAGAACTTGGCAATATCAGACATGACATGAAAAACAAACATGAAAGAAACACATAAACACTTAATATGCTCTTACTTCTCTTATTCTTGAAATACTCATTCCAACACCCATTTCAAGTACATATCAGGGATATGATCCTCTAAAGACTCTAAATATGTAAAAAGCTTGGAAAAAGTTTGAATATGCTCATGCGTGACACTCATATTCTAATCCAAGTAACATAGGAATGCATGACAAAAATACTTGAAAATCTCAAAATTTATATATTAAGAATTATTAACGTATCAAAATTTATATGAAAACAAAATACATTAAACATTACCACAACACAGAAAAAATTCATAAAAACGAAATGTATACACAAATTGTCGAGCCATATTCAAAACTTTCACTGAAGAAAGAATTTTCACTTTTACAAGTGAATCAAGAGAAATTTGGTTTTCTTCAGGTTGAATCACAGTAGCCTAAAAGAAGATTTCCAAGAATCGTAATTAACTTGACACCGTTAAACCAACCTGTTCATAAACAGGAAAAGATATCCACTCAGGATAGTTATCACCACAAATTTTCTTCAAATCATCTCTAGTGAGAGCCCCAAGAACTTTTATATCGGCTGCCTGTCAAAGAAGACAAATGTTAAGATTAATAAGCACACAAAGAGATTCATTCATCTAAAATGTATAAGATGACGAAGTCATAAGATCAGATTTTCCTAGTGAAAATGCCGAAAAGATGAACCAAAAGCAACCCAAGCACCGTCCAGTAACCATGACTGTGTTCTAGAGGGTCAGGTGATGATCTACCGGCTCCTACCCCCAGAGGTCAACTCATCTAGTACATTGAAGACCATAGGAAACTCCTCCACTAGGAGGGATCACCCCATACCTCTGATTAGTGACCACCAACTCTCAACAAGAGAGAGACACATGATGCTCAGCAAGTCTCACAGACGACTATAAATTGTTCATTTTGGCCAACCAAAAGTATACACTCTCTCCTCACCTTATGCTATTCATTTCCTTTCCTTTCTCGCACTACCCTCGTTGGCTTGAGCATTGAGGCACATACCAGAAAACTACTCAGGTGCTATCTAACCTTCTTCTCCTCCTCTACAGGAATTCTAACCACTTTCATCACCTCGACTCCAATCGATCAACACACCACAAATTGCTCAGCTAATTTCTTATAACCGCCCCACTGAATAAAACCAGACTTGATGAGGATGGTAAGTAGTAGATGAAAAAAAATCCTTCTATTCGATTCCATCAAAGATACCCAAAATTTAACTTCAAAAAAATTAACTCATCTACTGATAAAAAAAACAAAGCGAGGTTGGTTGATTAATACAAGTAATATTCCAATGAATTTACTCACTCAACAACGAGTTCAGAATTCTCTTTAATTCATTTCATAAATCAGTGGAACTAGCAAAGTTTAAGGAATTGTGATCAAATAATCGAGGAAATCTAAGCAGATTTGAAACTTAAAAAAAGAAAAATGGTGAAATAAGGATACCTTTGCGATTCTCTTACTGCTTCGGTGCCTCATCATACGACGCCAACCGGCCATCAATGAAATCCCGAAAACCATCCCCATAAAAATCCCAGAAGTCAACCCCATTTTCCTGGAATCCAAACAGAAATATCTTGCACAAAAGGGGGGAAAAGAAATGAATCCAAAGAAGTATGGATAGATAAAAACTAGTGGGATGAATGCATTAAAAAGATTAAAAAGAAAGAAAGAGTTGCAGCGAATCAAACATTGGGATCTTAAACAGAATTTACGTTTGAAACAATTTAGTTTCTCTGTCTTTTTCTTCTGCTCTTTCAATCCAAGTTATCTCAATGATTTAAGCTCCGAAACGAAACTACTCTACAAAGAGAGCTGGAAATGGCAGCTGAAATTGCAGAGAAAACACTGGAAAAAGACGCATTCAAGTACTGGGAAAAAAAGCAGAGTAAAGCTAAATAAAGCAGGATTGAGGATTGAAGGAGGACAAGACGAGAGAGATATTCTTCTTTGCTTTAAAATCCTCGGAATTCTTTTTTCTCTTTTATAATTAGGTAAAAAATACATAAGAGATCTCTATATTTAAAAAAAAATTTAATATAATTAATATGATATTTGTATTATTTTTTCTTAACGTTAATGTGATTTTTTAATTCAAAAAATAAAATTAATATGGCTTTCTAACTCATAAAATAAATCTAATATGATTATTTGATTAATATTTTTCGTCGTTTACCACTATAGTACTGATGTGACAGTTCACAATCATAACATGACAGTCTACAATGCTAATATGACAGTTTAGGGTGACAAATTAACATGACAGATGACAAGACAAATTGACTAAATTGATAAATCAAACATAGTAGATGGACTATCAATCAACATCGTAGACCGTCATGTCAGCATCATAAACTGATATGTCAGTATTATAACAGTCAACGATAAAAAAATATTGATCAAAAGACCAAATTAAATTTGGTTCCTAAGTTAAAGGATTATATTGAAAGAGAAAATAATAAGAATGCCATATTGATTTCTTTTAAAAGTATAAAGACTCTTGATACCTTGTTGCATTTTAATTACACCCCTCTGGCTCTTGGTTTGTTAAAGTAATGGATCATTAAATTATGATGAAAGGATCATTTTTGCTATTGAATTTATAAAATGTACAAAATAATCATTAAATTTATCATATTGTTACAAAATAATTATTATAATATCATAATAATTTTAAAAAATATAATAATTTTTTTATTTTTTATAATATTTAGATAAAATTTAATGATCATTTTATAACAGTTTTGATAAATTTAATGATTTCATTGTAATTTTTTAAAATTAAATCAGTAAAATGATAAACAAGTATAATTTGGTGACTTTTAATGTACTTTAACCTTTTTAATTAAACATGTCGGCATTGTTTCAATTGGAGATAAATAAAGATTTGTTTCGTAAATTACGTGGCGTGAGTTCCACAAAAGGTGATTTTGTACTAATATACGTTACATCATGTATTTGTTAGAGCATTCAAAAAATAAGGTTAAATATATATTTTGGTACTTAAACTTTGCTTCAAGGTTTAATTTATTACATAAACTTCTTTTTTTGTTCAATTACATGCCTGAACTTAGCTTTTCTGTATAAATTGGTACTTGACCTTGATTCTATAATTCAAATTTAATTTATGTTAGAACTTTGGCTCAATTTATGATTGAGAATTAATTTATTTTATGTTAAAATTGGATTGTAGTTTTATCACTGTTTAAAAAAATTAATGTTGATTTTATATTAATGTTACAAATATTAAAATGTATATAATAATATTATAATTTAAAAATATTTAAAAAATTATAATTAATATTATAAACATAAAAAAATTATAATCATATCAATATCATAAACAAAAACTTTATGTATTTAATTATAATATACATTTAGCTATTTGGTGTCCTTAATTTTAAAGGAACATTAATGATAAATTTATTTTTATGATCTAATTTTAGAGGAAACCGAATGATTCTAGGTTAGACTTATTGAATTGGATATTTTTTCCTCGATGAGACAAACATCATATTTGCATTAAAGAGATAAAAATGAGTAATTTGAAAATTTTGAGATCTAACAGTCGACGACGATGATGATTAATGTCGGTCGATAGTGATCGACAATGATGGTGGTGACTGATGGCTGCAACAAAAGATTTTAGTCGGATCTAAGAGTCAAATTGATATTTTATCTAAAATTTAGAAATCTATGATTTCATCAACTCAAATAAGTATTCTATCTAAAGTTAAGAGGTCAAACTAAAAATTAATCTCTTTTAACTAAAGTGTCATGATATCAAACTAATTGAAGTTAATCGATCAATGAGCAAAATGTAAAATTAATAACTTAAGTGATTAAAATTTAATAAATTGATATATAAATAATAAAAATAAATTGATAATATAAATAATAAAAACCTAACTTTTTTAAATTCGATGAGCAAAAATATATAAATATGTTAAATATTTCAATTTTCTATTTTATTTGTTGAAGTGCATAGCTCGTTAAAGTGCATTAAATGATAATTTTAGTCATTAGATCTGTAAAATTTATAAACCGATTGTTAAATTTAAAGAATTACTATGAAATAATTATTATAATAATTATAAATATTTGATAGATTTAATAACTATTTTGTAGCATTATAATAAAGTTTAAATATATTTTGTTATAATTTGATAATTTTTTTGATTAGTTCATAATAAATTGAAAATTTAGTGACTATATTATAAATTTTGAAAATAAATGGTTAAAATGATTAATTGAGTATAATTTAGTGACTTTCAATGCCATTTAATCTTTTTAATTACATCTGTCGGTATTTTAACATATTAAACCAATCAAATCATTTTTTTGGGTTAATTGTAGGTTCGGTCGGTTAACGATTAATTATTTTTTCAAAGTTAAATTATTGGTTAATTCGGTTAGAAATCAGTTAATGAACATAATTATTCGTATTTTTTAAAAAATATTTAATATTTAATTTATATTATTTATATATTAATAGCTTTAGGAGTGTTTAAATTTGGGTTTTAACCGAATTAACCAAATTAGCTGAAAATATTTAGTATTTAATATATAATATATTATTTAAAATTCGGTTAACCGACCGATTAACCAAACTTTGTTCAGTTTGGTTAATTATTTTTGAAAAAATTTCGGTTCGATTAACGGTTAAAACAAAAAAGATTTAGGTTGATGAATTGTTGAAAGTTCGATTCGGTCGGTTCGGTTGAACACCCCTAATCAACTAGGGGTGTGAGTGTTTAATGTCAAGGTGTAAAAAATTATCTATGAACATATACTGCATTGTACTTACCCAACTTAATAGAAAACATTTAAATTAATATTTGAATATAATTTATAATATAAATTTATTTAAATAAATCATTTATCTCAAATATCAATTTAAAATTAAAAAAATTATACCAATTTAGGCCAAAACAATCTTAAATTTTCAGTTAAGTTTATTAAATCCCCTAAATAAAACAACCAACACCTATTTATAATATTCGAATCTGAATCAAATAATTTTATAATATCAAAATCTAGATTAAAACGTTCTATACTAACTTTTACCATATCTAAATTTGAATTAAACAAATTTTATAATATTTAAATTTAGATTAGACGGTCAATTAAGTAAATGAAAAATATTTCATTTAGTTTGTAGTTCCCCCCCCCATTAAATTAAAATACATTTTGTAACCTCAAAAAATGCTTAAGCCAAAAGGAGAAAAAGGGGTAAACTATGCAAATAGTCCCCTATATTTTTGGTTTAATCGGTTTTGATCACTAATTTAAAAATTAAGAGGGAATGTTCCCTAATGTCATCAATCTGTTTGATTTTCTAGTATTATTGATCCATTCAATTTTAGTCCCTCAGCCATTAACTCTCGTTCGATTTTAGTCCCTCGTCCATGTTAGGAAATTAAACAAAAGTGACTTAAACAAAAGGGGTAACGAAAATTAATAGCTGAGGGACTAAAATCAAATGGATAGATAATATTAGGGACCATTCCTCCTTAATTTTTAAATTGGCTCTAAACATAGGGTACTATCCACATAGTTTACCCAAAAAAAGAAAAGAAAAATGGCAACAGAGCCTAAGCCTATTTATGGTCATTTGTTTGCTAATTACTTGCTAAATTCACCTTCTCTTTCGCGCCTATTTCGCGCCCTTTTCACAACTCTCTCCCTTTATATCTTATTCTTCGATTGTCTGTTCCTCATTTCTAGAAAAAATTGTTGTTTCTGCATTTTTTTTCTTTTTGTTTCACAATGGTATTCATTTTCTCGAATTATTTACTGGATACATTCAACGGCAAACTTCAAATTTGGACCGAACCGATCCTTCTGCGGTAAGTCCATCAGTTTCTCCATTCCAGCTAATATATATATATATATATATATTGTTCAAATCGATGACCGTTAAACTGTGATTTCTGCATTTTTTGCAATTATTTATATTTAAATTAGTTTGGATCGATATTTTTCTTGTTTGTTCATATCCGTCGTTGTTAATTTCAACGGTAATTGATCAATTCGCCAATGTGAGAATGAGATCATTTTTTCTTATACAATTTCGGGAGATATTTATATTTTTTAATATTTACGTGCTTCATGAGGTGGATCTGCTACTTGTTATATCTAACTATTGATTCAAATTTGATTGACTCGCTTGTGTCTGTGCGAATTCGAGTCAGTTGGATTCAGCGGGGAAACTGTGTTAAGTTTTAGTTGGTATGGAAATAGATTAATGTTCTATATTTATTCTATTCAGTATTAAATATTTCTGTTTGGTTTAGACGAGCTTCATAATTCTTCTTTTTGTACTAAAAGAGCGTTCAGAATTGACTGGAGTGGCAGTTCTCACTCTGATTCATCTGTTTATTGTGCAGGTAAAATTAATTGTAAATAATTCAAATGAATCTCTTTTAGGACTTAAAAGTAGTATTACAATGGAAGAAGAGGATAAAAAGAAGTTTGGTGAAACTTCGGTACGGTCAGATAAGATAGGAGGATCCCATCAGGAGAATGTTAATTATACAATTGGCGAAGAAGATGTCTTTAGAAATGATAATGTAGTTTCACAGGGGTTTCATTCTGCACCCATGATTGGGGATCATGACAAACGGGACCCTGTATTTTTGGAAAATCAAGCGATAGCTGCTGGGGAGTCTCATTGTGAACAGACAGATTCGAACCAATTTGCAGATTTAGACTATGACAGATGCTCATCTGACCAGTTCGATGAATACTCTCAACATCTAACAATAATCTATGGAATGGATCATGATTCTTTACCAACACCGTTTCATGATCGTTCTAATTCAAGCCCTGGACCTGCAAGACAAACAGATTTTTCCATTAAGCAGTCAAGTTCAGCAACTTGCCTTGATTACGTCTTTTATGCGGATTCTGGATGCTCACCCAATGATTCACCAAGAAAGCCGAAGCCAAAAGCTGCTATGCCAAATGT